GTCTCTCCTGCCTCTTCCTGAATCCTCTACCAGCCCGGGAAGAGGATTTTAAAAAATTATTTATTCCAAGGGAAGCAGCCTTTTGACCCAGACAAATTACACTCGGATCTTTTCGCCCTGTCTCTGGGTTCCCGCCCTTTCAAAATTTCCCCGTAAATATCATTCAAAGGGTCGAGGAGAATCCGGTCCATTTTGAACTGGAGTTTACAAAAATATGGACTCCCCCGCCCCCTGAAGTTAGAAGGACCTTATAAAAACGTGGGTGATGGATGTGTTTATCCAGGCCCAGATGTTTCAGAGTTCAACTCATGCTTGGATCATAGCTTAGACCCCACATTTATGAAACTCAAGGAGGGCCTCCACCTCATTTTTCGGAGCCTCGAGGTCTTCCTCAAAATTTCCCCGTAAATATCACTCAAAGGGTCGAGAAGAATCTGGTCCATTTTGAACCGGAGTTTACAAAAATATGGACCCCCCCCCCCGAAGTTAGAAGGACCTTATAAAAACGTGGGTGATGGATGTGTTTATCCAGGCCCAGATGTTTCAGAGTTCAACTCATGCTTGGATCATAGCTTAGACCCCACATTTATGAAACTCAAGGAGGGCCTCCACCTCATTTTTCGGAGCCTCGAGGTCTTCCCCCCACTTTACATCAGAAATATGTGTCTGTGCACATTTATTTCTCGCCAGCAAGTGCACCTGGCAAGAACTGGGGTTTCCGCTGGTGTATTTTATTTTTTTAAACTCAGATTTTTGCAAGTGGCTTCTCTGGAAAATCGAGGTTTCAGAAATCTCTGGGTGAGCGGTAGTGAAACCGGGCCACTTCCTTGTGGCTGACCCCCTCTCCAAACCAAAGAGTGTAAAGTATTTTCATCCTCTCTTCTGATGCCTTCCATAGCAGGAGGAACTGGAAGACAGTGGGGCAGAGCTCCTTTTTGATTTTTGGAACTATCTCTGCCTGGATCTCAAAGAAAGAAAGAAAACATGTTTTGCTGGAATATTTCCGGCGCCAGGGACCCGTGTCGTGTTTTCTGTTTCTTTCGGGCAAAAGCCCACTTAGATTCCTCTCCCGAGTTGAACTGCTGATGGGTGCAAATTCTTGCCAGGCAAACGGAAACGGTTCAGAGCAGGCTGGTTTCCTCTCTGAGTTTGCTCTCTCTCCCTCCCCACCATCTACCAAAGTCCACCTCGCGGGAATGGGTCACATCAATCCAAAATGACTCTTCCCCCCCCCCGGCAGGCGCAGAAACAAAGAGAAATGCTTTGCACACAATACGATGAGGATTGCGGCCAGCGATAAACAAGATTTGCAGATGCTGCCGTTTTTTTTCTTACCCCGGTCATGAGGTCTAGGAACCTGCTTTCACTTGAGCAGATTGGTAATAATTTACGACTACTATTCAAAAACACCAAGCACAATCAATCGGAATTATAAATACATTGATGGGCATTCTATAAAAGATACAAGTTATAAGCAAAAATTGAAGTGTCTGTGTTGATCTAAAGTGGCACCAGTGTTCTTCCTGAATTTGCTCTTGGTTAGACAGCCTGGTGGCATTCCCACCAAGCCACCACCTTGTTGTCTGTCCTACCTCCCAGGACTGTTTTTGTCACAGGTTCAAATGCAGAAAAGGGTCTGTGTGTGTGCAGGGCAAGCTCTTAGCAAGAGAGGCCCCACAGAGCGGTTATTCATTCAAACTAAAATCAATAAGGAGGAAATGAGGAAGAAGGATTTTAGAGTCATTGGAGATCTCGAGCTGAATATGAGCCCTCAGGGTGAAGCAGCGGCAAAAACATCAATCCAAAATCGCCCATGCAATTTTAGGTTGCCTTGACAGAACTAGTATCCAGACCCCATGAGGTGCGCATCCCCCGTTATTCGGCGCTGGTCCGGCTTCTTCTTGAGTGCTGTGTTCCAGTTCTGGGCACCCCACTTCAAGAAGGATGCCGACTAACTGGAGCAAGTTCAGAGGAGGGCAAGGAGGAGGAGGATCAGGGGGCTGGAAACCAAGAGGAGGAAAAACTGGAAAGAACTGGGCCTGTTTAGACTGGAGAAAAGAAGATGGAGGGGAGATAGGAGAACATTCTTCAAATACTGTACACAGAAGAGGGACAGGATCTGCTCTTGATCCTCCCAGAGTACAGGACACACACACCCATGGGCTCAAGCACGTTTTGGCTGAATCTCAGGAAAAACTTCCTAACTGTTAGAGCAGTACAACGAGGGAGCCAATTCCCTCAAGAGGTGGGGAGCGCTTCAGCACTGGAGGCCTTCGAGGAGAAATGGAACGACCCTCTCTCTCTGATCTGCTTGGATGTGGACCCTTGCCTTGAGCATGGGGTTGGACTGGATGGCCTCCGAGGCCCCCTTCCCACTGTAATGTGATTCTATGAACTGTCTAGTGTTATAGCGCAGCACTTTTTATTTACGTGACGAGAAAGCCGTCCTTCGAGACAAACCGTGTCAGAAGGTGTGTTAGAAGTTGATAAAGCAGCAGATGGGAGCAGGCACAGAAGAGATAGAGTTTATTTTAAAGAGGAATTTAAAAGCAGTGGGCCCCCACCCTGTGACTTGTGATTTTCTTCCTCCTTTATCCTCTCTTCAAGAATCAAGTTCCTTTTTCTGCTGAAACTAGAACAGAAGAGGGATAAAATTATCTGCTCTGTGGGCAAACTGTCGTAGTTATCAGCAAGTTAAGACACAAATCCTTGTTGGGTTTTTTTTTTTGCTTTTTTTCTTTCTTTCTCCACCCATACCCCGTTCCGGCGTATGGCTCCTCCGCTCACGAGTCACTTAATCATCCCAAACCAACCTCGGCGTGACGCGGACTTGAATTTCAGAAGCCTGTACGAAAAAGCTAATGCAGCAAAAAAAAGGACGAAGCGGAGGCTGTTAAGTGCTGGTACATCAGGAGGAAATGAGACGCGCCGGAAAAGACAATAATTCGGGGAGAAATGAAAGGCGGTAGGAGAAGAAGGCCAAAATGTGAGACGGACACACCACCCCAAGGAAACCACGACTTTTGAGTTTGCAAGGGCTGAGCAAAGCTCTGAAGGACGGAATATATTTCGCGGGCCGCTTCTTCATAGGGTCCCTGTAAGTCGGGGCTGCCGTGTTGTAGACTGTAAGCTTTTTGGGGCAGAGACCCTTTCTTTCAAAGAATCAAGAATCTTCTTCTGGCACCATAGAAATCCGAGTTTCTTCCAGGGTTCGCGTTTTCCTATTTACAGGACCAAACCAGTGGGAGGACCAGGATCAAACCAAGCCTGAACTTTCTTTGGAGGCAAAAACGTGGAAACGGAGGCTTGGCCAGGTTTGGGGACCTCATGAGAAAGGCAGGATTCCCTGGAAGAGTCCGTAAATACTGGAGAAAAAAAAGGTGGAAGGCGACAGAAGAGGAAGGCCCAAGGTGTGATGGATCGACTCCCTAATTTTCATTTTGCAAGAGCTGAGCTGCTGGGAGCGGATCGCGCGTTCAGAGGGCCTCCATAAATCAGGGGAACTTTTGTGTGTGTGTGTGTGGGGGGGGGTGTTGGTTTAATATGTAACTTTGCACCATGCCTGTTGGAAGGACAGACTGTTCCTCACCGCGCATTGCTACATTTGTGAAGGAAATGTTCCCATTTTCAAAGAGCCGACCTCTCCAAGCATCTCCGGCTGGAACCGGGGGTGTGATTGTTTCCCCTTGTGATATCCGGGACGCTCTTCTGAGTAGCCCAGGGTAAGATCTGATGCTTCTAGCTATTTACCGGATCCCGGGACTTATCCTGCTGCGCCAAAAGAGTATGTGACTGAACTGTGCCGTGTTTACAATGCTCAGCCTAAAGATGGTTCACATCCATGTTTAGTTTCTGGTTAGCCCGCTCTGCAAGAGTGTTTTTCCTCCCTCTGCTGTAGAACCCCCCCATATCCGCGGAGGGTTGGTTCCAAATCCCCCCTGCCGTGGATGCTGAAAACCGTGGATCATAGCAAACACTATACACATAACATGGTCTCTGGCTCCCTCTAGGAGCCAGTTCTGATGACTTCATGGTTGGAAATATATATATATTAGGGGTTTTTCCTTTTCATATTTTCAGAGCGTGGATAAATGAATCAGTGGATACGGATCCCACAGATAAGGAGGTCCTGCTGCAGAGCGAAAAATATGGTTTAAGACCGTTTTTGGTTTCGCTGGCTTGCTGTTTATCTGATGCCGTTGCTTCTGTTTTATCTGTTTGGATCTCAGGGAAGATTGTAGCAGGCTGTGTTTTGAGTTTTCTTTTTTAAAGCGGCTGTTTGTGTGTGTGTGTGTGTGTTTGTTAGCACAATCAGAAACATAATTTCTTCCTTCCAAATTCGTCTTCACCTGGCTGTGTTTTGTCAAGAAGACAAAATAGATCTGATGGTTTAAGCCTGCGTTTAAAAACAATTCCACACTTATTGGCTATTCCACTTATTCTGTATTCTTTTAAGGCTCACACGGACATTATTAACCCCGGCAAAGTAAAAGATGAATAAGCAGGTCTTGATCTTACCCGTCTTTACACCCTCCATTGCCTCAGAGCTGAAGAGGTCCGGATGCTAGAGCCTCACAGTGGGTCAGGCGCTGGGGGGGGGAGAACCAGAAAGGATAGACAGCACAGGAAGGGGGAAAGGCCGGGAGTGGCCAGGATCCGGCCCAATCTCCCTAAGAAAGAAAGAGGAAGAAGAAGGAGAGAGAGAGAAACAAGCAGCATGTATTTTAAGAACCTAAACGGCTTGGGACCTCAATACTTGGCAGAGCATCTTCTCCCACCAAGATCTACCCGAATCACCCAGCACAGCCAGGAGGGTCGGCTGAGGGGCCGAACGCCGAGAGAGGCCCGGAAAGAAAGAACAAGAAACCGGGCCTTCTCGGTGGTGGCCCCTCGGCTGTGGAACAGCCTCCGAACAGAAATCCGTCTGGC